TTCCCCTAAGAGGATTGCTGTTACCAATTTAGATCAATGGCGGGGCAAGAGAAAGGCCAGAGCAGTCTGAATTAGTAAAAAAATTAAAAATCCAATTATTGCGTATTTTACAAGAAATACAGAATAACTTGAACCATTAGAGACTCCTTTGTACACCTGCTGTTAGGGAGAGTCCACAATGATTTCTTGTTATCACCAGTTTCTATTTAATGGGTTCTTCTAGTCCAGAAAACAAAAAAATCCCTGTCTTTTAAAATTTCCGTTACAAATTAGAAACCCTGGCACGTTTTCAGTGGCTTCCTGCTCTTTGGTCCTCCTCTTGTACTTTCTGTGGCTATTGTAACTGCAGCTGCCAAAAATGTCCAGTTAAATGGGAGATTTAAATACATGCTACAAAATTACTGAGGCTGTTCTTCCTGTTGCTATAAGAAAAATTTTATGCTGTATATAGGAAACTGGTATATTTCTGATTCTTCAAGTGACATTTTTCTACTTCTTAAAGTTCTTGAAAATACTTTATTCATGTTTTTCTAAATAATCTTATTTTTCTGTTAATGTATACAGGAAAAACTTTTTACATAAAAATTTTGAGTGCGAATTTTAACTCAGATCCTATTTACTTTGGTTCACTTCAACAAATATTTAGTCAGAGCTAGAAATTGTTTTAGCAGATACAAAGGTAAACAATCACAACTTATTAATTCATGTTATCTGAAATTATGGGTTTATTATATTCGCTTTTTTGAAGAAGAAAATTAGGGTCTTTGGGACAGCCCTAGATGGTAAACTTAATAGCATTTGTGTTCTGTTTATGTGAGTAGTTCCTTGCTTAACTGGTAACAATTGCCAAATAGTTTTTTTTTCTATTAATTAAAAGAAACTTTTTATATAGTGAAAGAAATGATAATCTTGATATATTCTACTATATTATTCTTTGCTTTATACTTGTTTTTATTGAAATTATCTTTCTACTTTGCCTTTTGGGGGAGAATATTGCTTTATCAGTTACAGTCTACTAATACCTAAGAACTAGATTGCAAACCTAGCTGTAGAATCATTTTACTTCCCTTTTGTGACATAGATTTATTTTTTAATATGATATATGATTCCAAAACTCAGAAATAAAATTTTTGCTGCTAAAGTATACAGTATATATTCTCGCTATCCTAAACTGAATATCTGTATGGGGAGAGGAGAGATACAGGAGAAGATGGTGGTCTTTATCATTAGCAACCTATATATTTTAACTAAACTATTAACATATGAAATGTCAAGAGAACTATAAACTTGGAACTCCACTATCAAAAGCTTTACTATAATTTGTTAATTGAAGATAATTCTGATGAATTTTCCCCTTACCTTTTGCTTTCCCCTTTTTCCCCTCCCCCGCTGCTTCCTCTGAAGTCTCCTTCCAAATGGTTTTGGAAACTGGTTCCAGTAAGTTGGCTCAGCTACTTCAGTTTGCTCTCTGGAATTGTAATTGTAGAGTGGTATTGTTTGTCTTGCTGGTAAAGTTGTTTATGTAACTCTGTTAGTCACTGAATAGAGATTGGATTTTAAGGTATTTTGTCAGGTACTACGGAAAGATAAAAGATGTAGCCAAGGTTTAGAAATTCTAAAAATAATTTAAAGGGTAAACATGCTATTGCTAACCTTGTCAGTATTCACAGACTATCAGTAAGTAGGAAAAAAAAAAAAACTTACGGGTCTAGCTTCTCATTAATTTAAATAATTTTAGTAAATATGAATTTGAATTGCGAGTATAAATTGTCTGGATTTAAAATCATCTTTGTGGGCTGGGTGTGGTGGCTCATGCCTGTAATCCCAGCATTTTGGGAGGCTGAGGCAAGCAGATCACCTGAGGTCAGGAGTTCGAGACCAACCTGGCCAACGTGGCGAAACCCCGTCTCTACTAAAAATACAAAAATTAGCTGGGTGTAGGGGCAAGCGCTTGTAATCCCAGCTACTCAGGAGGCTGAGGCAGGAGAATGATTTGAACCCGGGTTACAGTGAGCCAAGATTGCACCATTGCACTCTAGCCTGGGAGACAAGAGTGAGATTTCGTCTCAAAAATAAATAAATAAATAAAATAAAATAAAATAAAATAAATAAATAAATAAAAATCATCTTTGTGGCCAGGTGTGGTGGTCCACGCCTGTAATCCCAGCACTTTGAGAGGCCAAGGTGGGAGGATTGCCTGAGCCCAGGAGTTTGAGACCATCCTGAACAACATATTGAAACCCCATCTCTATTTTTTAAAATTATCTTTTTGACAGAATTGTTTCCTTTTCAGGTTGAATTGTAGATGACACTTCACTTTTTATGTGATTTAAAAAGCAGAAGGTTTTCTGTGACCTCACCAGTAGTGGACCAAAACCATATTCTGATTTGACTTAAGTTAAGATTGATCTTTCAGATTTAAATATGGGGATGGGTGTGTTAAACCACTTAAGAACTATTTTACACCCTCAAGAATAAAACTCTGATTTAGAAATATACCATAATAGCCAGATGCGGTGGCTCACACACATAATCCCACACTTTGAGGGGCCCAGACAGGGGCAGATCCCTTGAGCCGAGAAGTTTGAGACCAGCCTAGGCAACTTGGCAAAACCTCATCTCTACAAAAAATACAAAAACTAGGCAAGCATAGTGGTGTACACTTGTGGTTCCAGCTACTGAAGAGACTGAGATGGGAGAATCAACTAAGTTCAGGAGGTCGACGCTGTAGTGAGCCATGATTGTGCCACTGCATTCCAGCCTAGGTGATAGAGTGAGATGCTGTTTCTTTAAAAAAAAAAAAAAAAGAAAGAAATATACCATAATGTTGAAATATAAAAATATAGGGTATTCCATCTAAATGCCAAACTTCTAAGTTTGCAGAAAGAAAAGGCGTGTTTCCATGCAGTGAGTTTATAAAGCATATATAAAAGTCTCTTTCATGAATTGCAGATGAACCTTCTGAGAGTTGCACATAATCTCAAGATTTAAAGTTGGTTTGCCTAATATATCTTCTAGAATATAATCTTTAGGAAAACGTTTTGGCATGCCATTCATAATTCTCTGATTATCTAAACCATAGATACTTATGGCTAATGTCATATAAAGCTGTGTGTGTATGTGTGTATGTATGTGTGTACATGTGCTTGTTTGCACACATCTTGTACAGAAGTGCTACTTTGCAGGAGGGAGTAGAACAAATCACATAATTCAATTCTTTGTTCCATGACCCTGGGTTCTTGGCTCAGTCCACTTGAGGTCATAGGCTGAAAACAAACTACTAGTCCCAGCCCAATTTAGAGGATATCCAAGAGGCAGACTGTTTTGATCCTAGATAACCAAAGAAAAGAGTGTAAGGATCTGGAACAGTACTCATTGTGAGAAAGGCAGCTGAAGCCTAGAACATACCACTGTACTGGCTGATTTCTTTTTTCTTTCTTCCTTTCCTTTCCCTCCCCATGGTTGATTTTAAACTGTCTCTTAGCAGCAAAGTGAGGAATTTTTCAAAGGATTATGAAAAATCATAATCAATTAAAGAATCTATATAGTACCTGCAAGTAATTTTTTTCTGAATATAGTTACCCCCTGAATTAGGGATGTACTCTTAAATACAGAGTCTATTATGCAGTAATTAATAAGAACCTTCAAAAATCTTCAAGAGGAAAACATGTTTCGTGAATTTTGTCCTTGGGTAGCCAGTGAGAGATATGCATTAATAAGTATCTCCTTCTTCATTAATGCTGATGCTTTTCTGAGAGATAGCATTGAAAAGAAAGATAACTTCACTACCAAATGTTAAGTGTTCTCTTTCAATAAATTTTTATTTTTCTATTTTTATTCTCACAAAAGTGTTTTATCTCATAATTATATTTTAATCATAACATATAGAGATGACCAATTTAGATGGAATTAGAAGAAAAATTAGTTTTGATAACCTTTTAAAAAACTATCAGTAACTTACACATTTTGCTAATAAAATACTTTAGTGTGTACATTCACTAAATCTTCAGCATTACTTTTCTTGGCTTTAGAAGAGCTAGCAGCTAATAATAGCTGACCTTTAGTGATTGCTTGCTTGTGCCCAGCAGGGTGCATAACACTTTGTGTCTTCCAGTGGTTCTATGAAGTCAGTATTATTAACCCAGTTTTCAGATGGAAAATGAGAAATGAGAGTTTAAGTAACTTGTCCAAAATCACAAAACTAATAAATGGCAGAACCAGGATCTGAATCCCAGTAATCTGACCCAAGACTTTTTTGTTCTCTTAACTACTTTTATAGCATGTCTCAGTTTTTAGAGAACTATTTTAAAACTTTCTATTTAGCCACACCAAGGAATCTTTAGAAAACAAAGGTTTCTTCTCTTTTTCTGAGGGGGAGCAAGAAACCATATACTTGCTCAATTATTAGTTCAATGAAACTTAAGTTGGGAGGGGTTTTTTTTTTGTTTTTTTTTTTTTTTAACTTTCAAAGTTGTTAACTATTTGTGCTGCCTCAGCATTTAAATGATTACCCAGAATGTCTTGGTGATACAATTCCAGTTCCTCAAATTTCTTTTATGAAGAGTATATTCTTCTATCTTCCCCCTTATTTTGATAACTTTCTACTTGAATGGTATTCTTGCTCTTCCCATATAAGAACTTGCAGTCTAAATTAAGTCTGACATTAAGTAGATGAATTTTATTATCTTCAAAAGAGGAAAACTGATTATTTGGATGCAAAGTGTTCAGAATCTGTTTTGTGATGCTTTTATATTGAAATATTTAAGCTAAATGTCATAAATTAGCAGTATGTTAAGTATTGAGCTTCAAAACTATAGCTGCTGTTGTGTATATTTAACTTTGGTAATACCTAGAGTTATTTAGAAAAAAGGAGTATTGGTGAGTGGTCTTACTTCTCATGATTTATTTTATCACTGATACATTAGAATTTATGGTACTGATTTTTTCCCTATGCATTGCTTAGTACTTATTTATTTTCATGTCTTTTTTTAATATTGTAGGCTCGTTATAGGAAAGAGCAAACATTGCTTAAGCAACTGCCTTGCATTCCATTGGTAGAAAATTTGTTGAAAGATGGGACAGATGGCTGTGCATTAGCTGCCCTTATTCATTTTTACTGTCCTGATGTTGTCAGATTAGACGGTAAGTGTTCCAGTTTAATATTTCTAAACTGTAGACAGATGGTAACCAATATTTAAGACAATATTATTTTGCCCTCCAGCCTAGATAACAGAGTGAGATCCTGTCTCAAAAAAAGAGACAATATTATTTAATATGTAATGAAGACTTTTTAAAAAAAAGAACATTTATATATAATTCTAAGGGAGGTAGTTTAAAAAAATAGTGCTTGGTTTCTAAGTCTTTCTGTATAATGACTGCTATATTTATAAATGTATGTTTGTTAACCAGAATTGTATATTTGTACTAATTACAAGATGGATATGAAATATGAAATATTTGTTATCAAATTAATCCAAAGCTACCACCTTGCTCTTTTCTTATTTGAAGATATTTGTTTGAAAGAAACTATGTCTTTGGCTGATAGCCTGTATAATCTGCAGCTGATTCAAGAATTTTGCCAAGAATACTTGAACCAGTGTTGCCATTTCACCCTGGAAGATATGCTCTATGCTGCTTCATCCATAAAGGTAAATTAAATTATTCCTTTTTTCCCTTTGCTTTGTTAAAATATGTTGTTGTTGTTCAAAAAAATAATAATAAAACAAGGCCAGGCACAATGGCTCATGCTTGTAATTGCAGTACTTTGGGAGGGCAAGGCGGGGGGAATGCTTAAGCTCAGGAGGTTGAGGCTGCAGCAAGCCATGATTGTGCCATTGCACCCCAGCCTGGGCAACAGAGCAAGACCCTGTCTCAAAAAATAAGTAAATAAATGAAATTTTAAAAATGAAAAATAAACCATAGAACAAGATATATAAATGACCTAGCAACTTTAAGTTTATAGATCAACTATATCAGTCAAAAGAGCTTTTGAAGAAACAGTTTTTGTTTGATTTTTATCTTATTTTATGTTTTTGAATACACTGTTATTAGCTACAAGTTTCTTTCATAGTGTAAAGCCAAACTTAAAGTCATATACACAATTGGCCAGGTGTAATGACTTGTGCCTGTAATCCCAGCACTTTGGGAGGCCAAGGTTGGCAGAATGCCTAAGCTCAGGAGCTTAAGACCAGACTGAGCAACATGGTGAAACCCCATGCCTACAATAAATGCAAAAATTAGCTGGGTATGGTGGCATATGCCTGTGGTCCCAGCTACTTGGGAGGCTGAGGTGGGAGGATTGCTTGAGTCTGGAAGGTGGAGGTTGCAGTGAGCTGAGATTCCACTGCACCCTAGCCTGAGCAACAGAGCCAGGCCCTGTCTCAAAAATAAGAAAAAAAAAAATCATGTACAAAATTGATCTGTTGTCTTAACGTTTGCAAAATAGAGAATAAGCCATTAAATGTTTCTGGACCATGCTTACAAATAGTAAGATTCTTTATAAATAATGAACTTCTTTTTTCTTAAAGAATTTTTAATTAAAAAATTAATTGAAAAGTAAGATTATGTACTAGTTAACTACCATTATGCATTAATATGTGATATGTATAGTTACATGAAATGATATGGTATCCTTGCACATTTTTATGTGTATGATGAGTCATTGAACATTAAATTGAAATTTAGTTTATTCTCATTAGATTATATATAATTGTTCTTTAGCTATCAGACTATCTGAAATTTGTCACTTTTATTGCCCTTTGACTGTTGGCTAATGTATGCTGTCAGATTGCGTTAAAAGAATACAATTTCACCTGGATAGTATTATTTTCTTAATTTTAAGTTGAGTATAGTTTATTTACATTTGATGTTAAATGTTAAAAATAATAATCATGGCCAGACATGGTGGCTCACACCTGTAATCTTAGCACTTTGGGAGGCTGAGGTGGGCGGATCACTGAGACCAGGACTTTGAGACCAGCCTGGCCAACATGGTGAAACCTCACCTCTACTAAAAATAGAAAAATCAGTTAGTCGTGGTGGTGTGCACCTGTAGTCCCAGCCACTCTGCAGGCTGAGGCAGAATAATCACTTGAACCTGGGAGGCAGAGGTTGCAGTGGGCTGAGATGGCACCACTGCATTCCAGCCTGGATGACAGAGTAAGACTATATCTCAAAAAATCATCATCATCATCATCATGAATAGGTTTTCGAAAATCATTACATTCCCAATTTTGAAAGGTTGTGTTATGAATACTATTATTTTTAATACTTCAAGAATTATTTATTCTCCAGATATTATTTTAGTAATATTAGTGTTGTATTTTACGTGAGTCAATAATATAAAGTCAATTCAGAAATCAGAAATGTTTTCTAGTCGAGCCATATTAATTTATGAAATACCGAACTACAATATAAAAATTTTAGGCGGGGAGTGGTGGCTCATGCCTATAATCCCAGCATTTTGGGAGGACAAGACAGGAGAATGGCTTCAGTCCAGGAGTTTGAGACCAGCCTGGGCAACATAGTGAGACTTTTATCTCTACAGAAAATAAAGTTAGCCAGGCATGGTGGCACACACCTGTAGTCCCAGCTACTCAGGAGGCTGATGTTGGAGGACTGCTTGAACTTAGGAGGCTGAGGCTGCAGTGAGCCATGATTGCATGACTGCACTCCAACCTGGGTGACAAAGCAAGAGCCTGTTATCAAAAACAAAACAAAAATCATGGGGGCTTTCTCTTTTAATTCTTAAAGGTTAAAAAAAAAAAGTGTTTAAAATAGTAATTTATTTGAAGTTCAATATTTGCTCTTGCTAAAAACATGGTGGGTATCATATGCATGTTACATAAACTCAGGCACAGCCCGTGGATGCAGTTTTTGTTCTGGTAGACCATTTGAAATGGGAAAACTAACTGGATACATCTATTGCTTTTGAAGAATTTTAGGATTTGTTTGCAGCTACTCTAGATACCAGCGTTGCATGTGCATCATTGGAGCCAAGCCCTAATTTAAGACACTGTCTGAAGAAACTACAGAATGCAAGTGTGTAAAAGTTACTAAGATGAAAAGAAAGGAGCATTAAACAAGTTTGTCAGAAAAATATAAAATGGCCAAAATTGGAGATTATTATACCTTTTTTAGAACATTTCAGGACCCACACTAATATTTGAAAAATATTTTAGCAAGAAACTATTATGTGCTAGACACTGTGCTGGGCCTGGGGATTTGGTCATTTATTTACTCATCAACAGATATTTACTGAGTATCTCCATGTGCTGGACCCTGTTCTCAGCTTTGGGGATGAAGCAGTAAATGAAACAGCAGGGTAAATGATAGAGCCAGTGGGAAAGGCATTTCCAAAATAAACCACTACTCCTACTGACCCGAAGTTGTACCCAGTCTCTTGTGTCTGACATATCAAAAAAAATTTTTTTAATTAATGTTGAAGGTTTACACCCTTGCCATTTATATCAGAATGAAAGTTAGGAGATATCATTTCCATATATATCTTGTAATGTTTTTTTCTGATATTTTCAGGCAATACCAGAAATGTTAATTTTTGTTAATACCAGAAAAGGCATTAACAAGATATCTACATTGTTTATCAGCTAAAAATTTAAATGCTACTTCTCTAATCTCAAAGGAAAAAAACTGACTCACTAAATACATGGAGACATAAGATTTGTTTAATTTGGTCTGTGGTATACTTTGGACTTCCAATACATAATATACAGTCCTGATGTTTAGATCAATTTTGTCCGAGTATGATCCATATAAAAGTATTTTCTTAAATTAGGTATATTTAAACTAGATGATAATCTACAGAAAGGGCTTTGGTCACTTTCTGTATCTTTCCTTATTAGAACCAAAGCTTTGACTTCATTTGAATATCTTTTTTTTTAATTCAATGTTATTTTAAGCTTTTAGCTTAAGTTCAAATGTACATGTACAGGTTTGTTACATGGGTAAACTTGTGTCCTAGGAGTTTGTTGTATAGATTTTTATTTCATCACCCAGGTATTAAGACTAATACCCATTAGTTACTTCTCCTGATCCTCTCCCTCTTTCTATTTCCTTATTAGATCTTGTGGATAGGCAGCAGTTTCTGTTGTTCTCCTCTTTCTGTCCATGTGTTTTCATCATATAAGTGAGAGCATGTGGTATGTGGTTTTCTGTTTTGGCGTTAGTTTGCTAAGGATAATGACCGCTAGCTTTATCCATGTTCCTGCAAAGAACATGATCTTGTTCTTTTTTATGACTGCATAGTATTCCATGGTGTATATGTACCACATTTTCTTTATCCAGTCTACCCTTGATGGGCATTTAGGATGATTCCATGTCTTCTTGGCTATTTTTTTTTTTTTTTTTTTCACTGAGTCAGAAAATTTTTTTTATTGTTAAAAAAATTTTTTTTTTTTTTTTTTTTTTTTACAGAATCAGTGTAAAATAGCAGTTGATTTCTCCATAATTATCAGAAATATGTATATTTGAGGTCTTGGCTAAGTGGGGCTGAAATCAACAAAAGGTCTTGGATTTGTGGCTCAGAGATCATCCTAGGAAGCCCACCCTGTTGATACTTGTCATGCTTAGCTCTTATGAGATGACCTGGTCCTTTTTAAAAAAAAAAAAAAAAAGTATCTCTCTTTATTCATTCTTCGGAGGCTTGAAGTGAATTCGGCAGCGTTCATTAAACACCTTCCAGCTCCTGTCATTTACCACTTCAACATTCAGTTCTGACTGCATCCATTTCAACTTTGCCTGCTCTTTTCTAAGTTGCTTTAATAACATTAAAGTGTCCGAATTCTTTTCTCTCTTTTCTTGGAGGTTTTTTACTACTTCTGACATCTGGGCTATACAGTTTTTTATGACTCTGTCTCTACTGGCATGAGCTGCCATCAAAGACTCATAAAGTTGCTTACAGGTTTGGCTGGCATCAATTTTCCCTGCAAAGGAAGCTGTTGGAACTGTAGTGTTTAATTCATGTACTATTCTGTCATCAGTTGTCCTCATCACCTTGAATAATTCCTGGAACTTGGTGAACTCACAGTTCACACCGCTACTGGGTGCTGCCATATTGGACTTGGCTATTGTTAATAGTGCTGCAGTGAACATACACAAGCATGTGTCTTTTTGGTAGAACGATCTATGTTCCTTTGGGATATACATACCCAGTAATGGGATTGCTGGGTTGAATGGTATTTCTGTTTTTGGGTCTTTGAGGAATCAATACACTGTTTTCCACAGTGGTTGAACTAGTTTACACTCCCACCAACAGTGTGTAAGTGTTTCTTTTTCTCCGCAACTTCGTCAGCACCTATTATTTTTTGACTTTTTAATAATAGGCATCCTGACTGTTGTGAGATGGTATCTCATTGTGGTTTTGATTAGCATTTCTCTGATCATCTGTGATATTGGGCCCTTTTTCATATGCTTGTTGACTGCATGTATGTCTGTGTCTTGTTTTGAAAAGTGTCTGTTCATGTTCTTTGCTCACTTCTTAATGGGGTTAATTTTATCTTGTAAATGTGTTTAAGTTCCTTATAAATGCTGGATATTAGACCTTTATCAGATGCATAGTTGCAAAAATTTTATCCCATTCTGTAAGCTCTCTGTTCACACTGTTGATAATGTCTTTTGCTGTGCAAAAACTTTTTAGTTTAATTAGATCTTATTTGTCAATTCTTGCTTTTGTTGCAATTTCTTTTGGTACCTTTGTAATGAAATCTTTGCCCATTCCTATGTCAAGAATGGTATTGCCTAGGTTTTCTTCCAGGGTTTTTATAGTTTTGGGTTTATATTTAGTTCTTTAATTTATCTTTAGTTAATTTTTGCATATGGTGTAAGGAAGGCATCTGTTTTCAATCTTCTGCATATGGCTAGACTGTTATCCCACCACCATTTGTTGTTGAATAGGGAGCCCTTCTCCATTGCTTGCTTTGGTCAGCTTTTTCAAAGATCATATGATCGTAGGTTTGTTGCCTTATTTCTGGGCTCTCTATTCTGTTCCATTTTTGTACCAGTGCCATGCTGTTTTGCTTACTGTAGCCCTATAATATAGTTTGCAGTCAGGTAGCATGGTGCCTCCAGCTTTGTTCTTTTTGCTTAGGATTTCCTTGGCTATTCAGGTTCTTTTTTGGTTCCATGTGACTTTTAAAATAGTTTTTTTTTTTTTTTTTTTTAGCTCTACGAAGGATATCGTTGGTAATTTAATGGGAATAGCATTAAATCTATACATTGATCTGGGCAGTATGGCTATTTTAACAATGTTGATTCTTCCTATCCATGATAGGAATGTTTTTCCATCTGTTTGTATCGTCTCTGATTTCTTTGAGCAGTGTTTTATAGTTCTCCTTGTAGAGATCTTTCATTTCCCTGGTTAGCTTTATTCTTAGGTGTTTTATTCTTTTTGTGCCAATTGTGAATGAGATTGCATTCCTGATTTGGCTCTCAGCTTGATTGTTGGTGGTGTATAGGAGTGTTAGTGATTTTTGTACATCGATTTTATATCCTGAGACTTTGCTGAAGTTATTTATCAGCTTAAGGGGCTTTTGGGACAAGAATATGTAGCCTTATGACCATCTTAACTAAAAGAAGGAAAGAAGAAGCTTTTAAATGAAATTAATTTGGATCATTCCTGAAATATAGTGACAGATTTATTGCTTTTTAATCGTCATAAATTTAGAAAGACATAGTCTTCATGAGCTTTAATTACTGGGAAAATTATTTCTCACTGGTACTGACACCTTGTGGCCAAATACAGTCCAATTATGTTATTAGGATGACTATCTTACCAAAGTCCTTAAAATATTAACTTACTTTCTGTTGACAGATAATTATTGAGCACTTAGGCAGTATTTTTCCAAAATATAGTCAGCTTTGAGTTAACTCTGCTAGTAAAATGGAACCTAGCACCAGTACTTAAAAACCAGTTTTATTCTTTGGCTTTAGAAAGTATACGGTAAAGATAAGTTTAAGGAAAAAATATAAATCACAGTAATCTTATTACTCAGAAATATTCTCTGTCAATGTTTTGATGTTTTACTGACTGTTCTTTTTTTTAATGCATAGATTCATTCATTGTACATTCATTAAATAAATATTTATTGAGCATCTATCATGTACCAGACACTGTTTTAAACACTGAAGATATAATGATGAGGATAAGCTTTGTCTTTTTAGACCTTATAGTCTGGTGGGTAAGATGAGGAACTCTGGAGAATGTAGTAAGAGATGAATCTGGAAAGACAAAAAGGGACTCCCAAGTAGCCTCTAGTAAACCACACTAAGATTCTCTTTACCTCACAAGTAGTGGAAAGAGAGTTGCATTTTGAAAAGTTTGTTTTCTTAACAAGCCAAAGAAAAAGTTATTGTGTTCCAAACAAGGCAGAAACATTTGAATCAGAGCAATTATGATGGAGAGAAGTTGGTGGATTCCAGAAAGATTTAGGATGCAAAATCTGCATGCTTTGGTGATGAATTGGACATGGGAAGGGAGAGAGAAGAAGGTGTCAAGGATGACTGCTAGGTTTCTGGTTTGCACACTGGGATAGTGTTGCCATTTAGTGAGATAGGACTGCAATAAGATCACATTTGTAGGGAAGGTCACTATTTCAATTTTGGACATAGGCCTTTGAGATATCCGAAAGAAAATCCTCAGCAGACCACTGCATATGTAAGTGCAGTCAGTACATTTGAGACTCATTTAGTAGCTGATGGACAAGGCATGACAGTGTTCCAAAGAAGGGAGAGATCAGGAATATGAAATGCAGCTGAGAGGTCAAGTAAGATGGGAAATCTGTTTGATTTAGCAACATATGTACATCATTGGTGACTTGAGCAATAGTTGTTGGGGCATGATATGACTCAGTGCCAAGAGTGAAGTCGATTAGAGAGTAAAAGGGATGAAATGGAGAGTATCAGTAGAGGCCTGCTCCTAAAAGAAGTTTGTGTGAAGAGGTAAAAAGATGGGGACGTGGGGAAAAACTAGAGAATAGTTATTGAGCGAAGGTTTTGTTTCATTTATTTTGATGGGAGGGATTTGAGCATGTTTAAAAGCCAAATAGGAAAAATTCCATTCAGAGGGGAAGGATAACTACGTAGGAGAGAAAAATAAGATTGAGAATATAACGGCATTTACAGCAATTTGGTTGGAATTGGAGACCATTCTTCTAAGTAAAGTAACTCAGGAATGGAAAAACCAAACATCCTATGTTCTCACTCGTAAGTGGGAGCTAAGCTATAAGGACGCAAAGGCATAAGAATGATACAATGGACTTTGGCGACTCAGGGAAAAAAGCAGGATGGAGGTGAGGATTAAAAGACTACACACTGAGTATAGTGTACACTGCTTGGGTGATAGTTGCACCAGAATCTCAGAAATCACCTAAAGAACTTATTTGTGTAACCAGATACCACGTGTTCCCCAAACACCTATTGAAATAAGAAATAATTTTTTTTTAATGTAAAGTTTCTGAGGAGTCAAGCAGGGATGAGATCCACTGCATAGTTTTTAGGGATTATAAGCATTCTCATTACTTTTTTTAGTCACAAATATTAGCAGCTGCTTCAATTAGTTTGTATCCATATATCAACATTCTAAAATCCTGAGAATTTACAGTAAAAGCAAACAGTGAAGGTAAAGTAGAAACCTACTAAACATTCTTCACCACTGTGCATTGTCTTCTGTAACACTCTAGACTCTTGCACTCAGCCACCTACATGACACAGGTCCACGTAAGTGTCCAGTGAACATCTGAAACAGTAAGTCTTGATTCCTTTCGTTACCTGTTTCTCCCAGTCCTCTCCATCACGCTATTAGTTGCTCAAGACAAAAACCTAAGAGTCATCACCCTTGATTCTTCTCATTTCATCACTTTCTTTTTATTTTTCTAGAGACAGGGTCTCACTGTGTCACCAGGCTGGACTGCAGTGGCACGATCAGCCACATCCTAGGCTCAAGCCGTATTCCCGCCTCAGCCTCCCAAGCAGCTAGGATAACAGGATGTGCCACCCTGCGTGGCTAATTTTAGAAATTTGAATAAAGACAAGCTATGTTGCCCAGGCTGGTCTCAAACTCCAGGCCTGAAGCAGTCCTTCCTCCGTATCCTCCCCAAGCACTGGGATTACAGGCATGAGCCACTGTACTCAGCCTCTTTTCTTTACTTTCTGCATACACAATAGCCTTCCAGAACCATCAGATGAGAGATGGTATTTGAAAGTCACCAACTTAAATATGAGAAACAAAACCAAGAGAATGCATGCACTTTAATGGAGAGCATATAGAGTTTAAGGATTATTCATAATTAGCAAGTAGGAAGAAGGTAAAACATTAGAAAATAACCATATCCAGGATAATCTTATAAAATAAGACCTCACTTATTAAATAAATACTAACAAATTTTATAGTAACTATTTTATTAAATGCCAAGTGCACAAAATTTAGAAAACATGTTTAAATACTTATGAAAACAGATTTTGCACGGTTTTTAAAAATTTACCAAATGCCTAAAATTGAAATAATTCTTAATGCTTATAGCATTTATGATAGACACATTTTAAAATATAAGCTTGTAGTAAAAATGTGCTTTTGAGGACGCTTAATCTTTTCCATTAATTTTAAGCCATTTAAAAAATTATTTACATTTTAAAATAGAATAATAAAAGGTAACATTGTTGACTTATTAATAACTTTTCAAAATTAGGTAGATACATTAATTGTATAAGTAACGTTTTGTATATTTCAAAATTATTAAATATTCGCTATAAAATTTAGAGTTTTGGTGTTATTTAGCACCTGAATTACTGTTGAGTTTAGCATTATTGAACACATACATATACTATTTTTTAACAATGTATCTAATTACTTTTTGGAGAAATTTCTAGGGATCTGAGTAGAGCTTACTCAGTGATTTTTTTTTTTTTAAGTGATAACCCCTCTTCAGAGTGTCAGAGGACTGAATAACTTTTTAAGTTGCTTGTATTTACTTTGGAATGAAAGTTTCTTATATATTATCTGAGCATTCTGCACAGTTGGAGATATTCATGCCTGCTAGATAAATTGGACCACCATTTTAGAACTATAGAACAAATCATCAGCAAAGAGGTTTTGAATAGTTGTTATAATTTTTTCCCACAAGAGTTAATATTCCATCCCATGTTTAATAGCCTGTAAGTGAATATATGCCAGTGATGAATGAATGAGATTTAAACCTATGTTTTAAAACAATAAAATTCTGTTGAACATTAAGTTTTACCTAACGTAGGCTTTGTCTTAAATTTCCTATATAGAGTAATTATTTGGTGTTCATGGCGGAACTGTTCTGGTGGTTTGAAGTGGTGAAGCCGTCTTTCGTACAGCCTCGTGTTGTTCGTCCTCAAGGAGGTAATCAACCTCTTTAATTTTAAATGCTCCTATGAACAGAACAAAGTGGAATGTTGACATAACTTCACCTGGTTACCCTTTTAGAAAGCAGCCTATTATTATTATTATTTTCGATTTCAGCTATTACCCTTGATAGATTCTCCTAACCTCTTAAAATGGTTAGAAGAGGAGAAACAGGAAATTGAGAGAATGGCTTTAAATTTGACTCATGATGTGGAGCTTTTAGCTTTAACTGCTCATTTCTTTTCCTTGCATCTTTTATCCCTACCCCAGCTTTTATTTCCTTTTAGATTCTTAGTTTTTAACATTGTGTTACCCAGAATCCTGCAAATTATTGTTTGGCCTTAACCTGCAACTTGAATTTGCCATTAAACCATAAGAATGTTTGTATATATTTTTAAATCTAGTGGATTTTGTGACTGTTATAATATAATGAACTACTGATTATACATAAGAAGAATAAAACTAGTAAGAAATAAGGGGGTTATTGTAAAGACCCCTAGATATAAGGAACAAAAAAAGTACTAAATTTTCTGTAAAGCAAAATTTCACATAGCAAATCCAGTTTTCTCTTGGCTCCCATTATAAAGCTAGCAGTTTATTTCTACAGGGAAAAAAAATGATCTTAAATTATAAGCTTTGCCCCACTAAGAACTTTCTTCCAGCATAACTTGTGGAACCATTTCTTTCTGCTACCAATGGCTGCCCCATGCAACACAAAACATGCTTATTATATATCCCAAATACTTAGCAGCTTTCCTTGGCTCCAGAGTTTGTTGTTTTTATAACTGCCACGGCTACCTCTACCCTTCCCACCCTGCAACCCTCCAAAAAATAAAAGAGAAAGAGACCAGGAAGGAGGGAAAAAAATGTAGCCAAAGGGGAGGCATATTCTAGTGAGTACAGTGAACTTACTTCAGACAGCTCACTGCATCTCAGGCAAAAATCTGTGACATGAGCAATAATTCTAGTATCGCTAAGCTTCTTAAGGCAGACTCTGAATATTGAGTCATTATATAACATTATGTAACTTCTTTACTTGCCTATAAAGAAATTAAGATGCTCCCCTAAGGCCACTGAATAAAGTCAGATATTCTTAGTAATTTTCATAATCAATATTTGCATAATTTTAAAAAATATTAACAGGATTTTCACTACATTGCTTTCTGTGATTTTACCTGTGTAACCCACTATTCAAAATATCAACAGGTGTTGCATCAGATCTCAAAGTGAAAAAGTAAATTGAGTCTTCCCCCAGATTTACTTATAAAAATGAAAGTATATCAGCAAGTTTAATTATTTTCTAAAGAAATTCCATTTTTCTTTAATTGACCAAAATACCAGCTATTTCTTAAAGAAGCAGAGCTGACCATATGTAACTGAAGTTCTATGAAAGTGTTCACAAAATTAAACATTCAAACCTATTTTTATTTTAAATATATGTGTTTATTTTATGTTAGGCTTTTTTTCCCCTAGTTATCCTTAATCAGATAAATTTTTTAATTAAGTTTTTTTTTTCCTGAAACAGAGTCACACTCTGTTGCCAGGCTAGAGTACAGTGGTATGATCTTGGCTCACTGCAACCTCCACCTCCCGGGTTCAAGCAGTTCTCCTGCCTCAGCTTCTCGAGTAGCTGGGACTATAGGTGCACACCACCACACCCAGCTGATTTTTGTATTTTTAGTAGAGGTGGGGTTTCACCATGTTGGCCAGGACGGTCTGCATCTCTTGACCTCGTGATCCACCCACTTCTGCCTCCTAAAGTGGTGGGATTACAGGCGTGAGCCACTGTGCCCAGCCAAGAAGAAAACTTTATGCCATGATTTCTCAGTATGTAGGAAGGGAAATAGAAGTTAAATTTTATTATAAATTTATTTATGGTCCAGAATTTTTAATAGAAGTATGCTAATTTGAGGATCTTTTTAAAAATCTTTCATTCCAGCTGAACCTGTAAAAGATATGCCTTCAATTCCTGTCTTGAATGCTGCCAAACGAAATGTCTTAGATAGTAGTTCAGACTTCCCTTCAAGGTAAACTCAATAATGACTTTATTTTCACTATTTCTATTCTATTTACTAATGAAACCAAGTAACATTTTATTACATTAAATAAAGTTTTTAAGATTTTCAGTTGGATTTTGAACTGTTATAATTAACTTGCCCTATTAAAGCCTGTTTTAACTGAAATATAATTGAAATATACATTGAAATGAATGTTTTTTTTTTTTTTTTTTTTGAGACGGAGTTTCGCTCTCGTTACCCAGGCTGGAGTGCAATGGCGCGATCTCGGCTCTCCGCAACCTCCACCTCCTGGGTTCAGGCAATTCTCCTGCCTCAACCTCCTGAGTAGCTGGGATTACAGGCACGCGCCACCATGCCCAGCTGATTTTTTGTATTTTTAGTAGAGACGGGGTTTCACCATGTTGACCAGGATGGTCTCGATCTCTTGACCTCGTGATCTACCCGCCTCGGCCTCCCAAAGTGCTGGGATTACAGGCTTGAGCCACTGCGCCCGACCCTGAAATGAATGTTTTTATGCACCACACTGAAAAGTGGGAGAATATATTCTAAGTTCGCGATAACCAACCTAAAACCAAACTTTTGATGCATAACTTGTTCATAGTTGAGAATTGCCTAATAGGTAACTCCTAGGCCTCGGAGGGAAATCTTGAAATTCTATTAGAATTTTTACATATATTCTGATTTTTAAAATCTTTGAAGGTTTTTTCCTGCTGCCTTTTTTTTCCTGGTTAGGATAGCTATTGAGAGCTCACAGTGTTACCCATACAACTCGTGGGTTTGATCTCTTGGCAGATGGCAGTCCAACAAGACAAGAGGTTTTATTACTTGCAGCAAGTACAGATGACACCAGAATAATTCCCCAAAGCAGTGCCCCCTCAAACAAAGGTGAAAATAGGGCTTTTAGTAGGCTGGTTAGCTGAGTCGTTGTGTGTAGAGGTGGAGTAATTAAGGCAGTAAAGGTGCAGTCATCAATCAGCTTCTGGCATGTCTAGAAAATGGGGAATAAGCTCCTTCTTGGATGGGATTTTTTTTTTTTTTTTTTTTTTTTTTTTTTTTTTGGAAAAAAGAAAGAACAAGAAAGAAAGAGAGAAAGAAAGAAAAAAAATAAAAGAGAGAAGAAGAGAAAGAGCGTTGGATGGGATTTTTAGTGTGGGTAATAGCAGTACCTCTCCCACTCAGCCATCTCTGCATCCACCCAGTTTGTGTCATTTTTGTTTTGAAATGTGAAGTTGGGCTGCTTCTTGGAACTTTCTGAAACAGCAAAAATCTCAAGGTGCCACAGTTACATGTATGTACCTTTTTACAATGTATACCCAAAAACCTAGGGACCCTTCGTTACAACAGTAGAATATTTATTACAATATTGAATCTTTAATGTTTTAGTACATAACATTAGGAACTGAATTGAAAGAAAAGTAAAGATGTCCTGTCATTTAATACCTAAGTAATCCTGACTTCTCACCCAAGTATGTGATAAGGATATTAATTTGTTTAAAAATGTATTTCAGAGCTTTTTATTTGTATTTATTAGAACCTACAATTTATATTGACTCTGGACTCCCTAATCTGATTTTTTTAAGCTAAAAGTACTATCTTTTGTGGGTTTATGGAAATTCAGACACATTAAAAATACATTTTAAAAATTATGAGTAAAAAACATTCAAAGTAATTTCTGTATGAGTTCTTGGCTTAACATAAAAATAGGAAATTTAGCAGTGGCATGGTGGGTCAATAGTGACATTTCCTTCCTTGAAGATTTAGAAAGCACTCAGTGTTCTAGGTCACCACTCTTACTCTATTACATCTTTAAAGTTCACTTTTAAAGTGGAAAGTAAAGCTTTCCACTCGAAGACTAGATTACTCCATAATTATTCTAGGAACCTAAATGGACGATCTCCCACATTTCTGAAACATGTTTTAATTCATGTCCTCTGAAAGACTCACTTCTTTTCTGTCTCTCAGACATCTCAGTGGCTCATTTTTCCTATTTTTCCCAGCAGAAACTCTTTTTATAATGCAGACGGATGTCTACCTTCTTTTCCTTGAAAAATTATTGTGTAGCCATTATTCTAGGCTATTTTGGGTTCCTAGTCATCCTCTCATTTCTGTCTCCATGTGGTCCATTGTAGTTCTCCAACACTGTAAAACTTTTGAGAATGAATTGAAGTATTTTTACTCTTCCTGGGTATAATGTAGCCATGTCTACAAATGCTTGTGCACCTAAATAATGATTTTATAGAAAGAAAAAACAAAGGAAGAAGACAGGCAAAGCAAAAGATGTTCTCAGCAGCTACACCACGTACTTGGCTACCAGCTGTTAGACAGACATAGGTCCATGAACAGAGAAGCTGTCAGGGCTTTGACTAGGGTTTATTATACCTATAGGTTTTAAAGATTTAGATTTGACCAAAATATTTCAAATTGGTGAGTTTCATTTTACATTTTTCTATGTCAGTTTTTATGTTTATAAAATGAAAATAATTCATCATATCTCACAGGGATGTTGAGATGTGTATGAAAGTACTTCAAATTGTGTGGCTAAAAGGCATAAAATAAATATAGATGCATACTGTAATCACAGTCATTCTTTGGTTTAATCAATATGTTTCCATATTTTTAAAATGTAGGATATAGAATCAGAGGTGATAGTGTTGTTTCTAACTTCAGACATTCTACATAAAATTTATATTAAACAGCTAAAATATAACATTTTACGTTTATTTTCCGTTGCAGTGGGGAAGGAGCTACATTTACACAGTTTCATCATCATTTGCCTTCTAGGTATTCACGTCCCCAAGCTCATTCTTCAGCCTCAGGTAATATATTTGAAAAAGCCTAGGAAAATACTTAACCTACTTAAAACCTACCCTTTAAAGTAGGTTACCTGGGAAATGATTGAGAGTAAATACAAATAAATAAATATCCAGGGTTTTTTTTTTGTTTTTTTGTTTTTTCTTCTGAAAAATGTCTGTTATAACACACTAAAAGCATGGTCGGTTTCACTTTGCTTGCTTTTCTTGATAAAATGATCTCTAATTCTCCATATGTACCTACTTAATTTGTATTGCTATTAATTAATCCTCAAATACGTGAAATCTCCTAAGTTGCTATAAGTTAATTTTTTTACGTGGTTTCAATGGCTTTTTCTTTTTTGCATTTGAAGGAGGAATTAGAAGGTCTTCATCTATGTCTTATGTTGATGGCTTCATAGGGACATGGCCCAAAGAGAAAAGGTAAACAAAGAGAATTACTTTTAGTGTATTTAGATTATTAAGAAATGCAAATTGTGTCTGTCTATTTTATTGATAATCAAATTGCTAAGACTTTTAATTAGTTCCTAAATTTGAAAAAGGCCGTATAGTATAGGCAGATGATAGAGAGGTGAAAGAGGCTAGCTTTAAAAAGTAGCTAGATGGCCCTCCCCTTCCCTTGAAGACAGTATGATTATGAGAACTGGGGAAAGAAAGGAAATGTAATTTCAAATAATTCTTATTAAATGATACTAAAAATCATTTCTTTTCTAGGATTTTTAAAGGATTTTTCTCTTTAACTTTTTTTTAGATCATCAGTACATGGCGTATCATTTGATATTTCTTTTGATAAAGAAGATAGTGTACAGAGATCCACTCCAAACCAAGGAATCACTCGTTCTATTAGTAATGAAGGACTTACTCTGAACAACAATCGTGTATCTAAACACATTAGGAAAAACTTGTCCTTCAAGCCAATAAATGGAGAAGAGGAAGCAGAGAGCATTGAAGAAGAGCTTAATATTGATTCTCACAGTGACCTCAAATCTTATGTTCCCCGTAACACAAATGAACTAAATTCTAATGAAAATATTCATTACAAGCTTCCAAATGGAGCTTTACAAAATAGAATACTTCTAGATGAGTTTGGCAATCAGATTGAGACACCAAGCATTGAAGAGGCATTGCAGATAATTCATGATACTGAAAAATCTCTTCATACACCTCAGCCAGACCAAATTGCTAATGGCTTCTTTCTTCATAGTCAAGAAATGAGTATCCTAAATTCAAATATCAAGCTAAATCAATCTAGTCCTGATAATGTAACTGATACAAAAGGTGCCTTGAGTCCCATAACTGACAATACTGAAGTAGACACTGGAATTCATGTTCCTTCAGAAGATATACCTGAAACTATGGACGAAGATTCTTCATTGAGAGATTATACTGTAAGCTTGGACTCTGACATGGATGATGCATCTAAATTTCTTCAGGATTATGATATACGAACCGGCAACACCAGAGAAGCTTTGAGTCCTTGTCCAAGTACTATAAGTACCAAGTCTCAGCCAGGCAGCAGCGCTTCTTCTAGTTCCGGAGTTAAAATGACCAGCTTTGCTGAACAAAAATTCAGGAAACTGAATCATACTGATGGAAAAAGTAGTGGAAGCAGTTCTCAAAAAACTACACCAGAGGGCTCTGAACTTAATATTCCTCATGTTGTTGCTTGGGCACAAATTCCAGAAGAAACAGGGCTTCCACAGGGACGGGACACTACCCAGCTGTTGGCTTCTGAGATGGTGCATCTTAGGATGAAACTAGAAGAAAAGAGGCGTGCTATAGAAGCCCAGAAAAAGAAAATGGAGGCTGCTTTTACCAAACAGAGACAGAAAATGGGAAGGACAGCGTTCCTTACTGTAGTGAAAAAGAAAGGGGACGGGATTTCCCCTCTCAGAGAGGAAGCAGCGGGTGCAGAAGATGAGAAAGTATATACTGATCGGGCAAAAGAAAAGGAATCACAAAAAACTGATGGACAAAGGAGCAAGTCACTGGCAGATATAAAAGAAAGCATGGAGAATCCTCAAGCCAAATGGCTAAAGTCTCCAACTACACCTATTGATCCTGAGAAGCAGTGGAATCTGGCAAGCCCCTCAGAAGAAACTTTAAATGAAGGAGAGATTTTAGAATATACAAAATCCATTGAAAAGTTAAATTCATCCCTGCATTTTCTACAACAAGAAATGCAACGCTTGTCACTTCAGCAGGAGATGTTAATGCAGATGAGAGAGCAACAGTCTTGGGTGATTTCACCTCCACAACCCTCTCCACAGAAACAGATTAGAGATTTTAAGCCTTCTAAGCAGGCAGGCCTGCCATCAGCCATCGCACCATTCTCCTCAGACTCCCCTCGTCCTACTCACCCATCTCCACAGTCTTCTAACAGGAAAAGCGCATCTTTTTCTGTTAAAAATCAAAGGACTCCTAGGCCCAATGAGTTAAAAATAACACCTTTGAATCGAACCTTGACACCCCCTCGGTCAGTGGATAGCCTTCCTCGGTTAAGGAGGTTTTCACCAAGTCAAGTTCCTATTCAGACTAGGTCATTTGTATGTTTTGGGGATGATGGAGAACCTCAGTTAAAAGAATCCAAACCTAAAGAGGAAGTTAAAAAGGAGGAATTGGAATCCAAAGGGACTTTGGAACAGCGAGGACATAATCTAGAAGAAAAGGAGATCAAACCTTTTGAGTCAACAGTCTCTGAAGTCCTATCACTGCCTGTCACAGAGACTGTATGTCTGACACCAAATGAGGACCAATTGAATCAACCAACAGAACCCCCTCCTAAACCCATTTTCCCACCCACTGCTCCAAAAAATGTTAATCTGATTGAAGTTTCCCTCTCAGATTTGAAACCCCCTGAAAAGGCTGATGTACCTGTTGAAAAATATGATGGAGAAAGTGATAAAGAACAATTTGATGATGACCAGAAAGTATGCTGTGGATTCTTTTTTAAGGTGTAGTATTAATCTGCATAGTTTTGGGCATCTTCATTAGATGAGTGTGGTCATACGGGATTTTTTTTAGTTGACATGCTTACTTCTTTCAACAGCAATCCCTTTTGATACAAGTCCATCCCCATGGACTACAATAACATTTGAGCACACTGTGGTTTCCAGTATGGACTCAAAGCTCTAATAAATCCTTTTATCACATGTTTAGATATATTCCTTGGTTTTGCTCCTCTACTGCTCTTTCTTACTTTGACAAAAGCCTTTTAAAAATTAAGCTAGTCAGATCTCTTCAGAGAGTGATCCTATTTTGTCTCTTAATCATGTAACACTACCATTTTTTTAACAGAATGCTACTCTAGACACTAATAGATATTAAAATTTACTGTCTAGAGACTCTGTTCCTTGCAGAGAAAGGAAAACAAAGGGGAAGAAAATTATTAGTATAAAACAGGCAGTACCTCCGTTCCTTCATTTCTATTCCATTCATTTCCATATCTTCACCACCCCATTATTCATCTGTTGGACTGTGGTTGCTGCTTCTTGACTGGGCTGTCTGTCTCTGATCATGCCATTCCATTCATCATACTGTTAGATGATTGTTCCAAGAGCATACCTCCAGCTCAAACTGAGTCTCTTTCTGGTCAAAAATCTTTCCTATTGAAAAGAGTTAAAACCCTTCAGCATAACATTCAGGGACTTTCACAGATTAACCTAAACCTTTTTGTCTAGCTTCTTCCCGAGTACAAAATAAATAACTTTATTTTGTACTGTTCTTTAAGATTAACTTTAAGCTTCATCTAAAGCCTTATAATTCTTTCAGTTGAGGTCAGATGTTTCCTCATTTGTATATCTGTTGTATCCTTAATATACTCATACCTGTGTCCTGGAGTTTTCAACTATTTCATATGATTTGCTTTGTCTCTTAGACCATGACCTCCTAGAGGTGCTGCATCTTTTTATCCCCATAGTATAGTAAAGTGTCTGGCAAACTACAACATAAGTAATTTGATAGATGAAGACATATATGAATGTTTTAACTGATTGCTTGAATGGTATCTTCTGCCTTTCTCTGTCTTAAATCTCTTAAATGTCTCTGGGTTTCTATACGGAGCTTGTTTGTACCTCTTCCCCTTGTGATTTTTAGATCCTTGACCTGAGGTACCATATATTTTAATATTTGTAATATTTGACACTATGTTGTGAATATATTAGACACCAAAGAAATGTTTGTTGAATTAAACATTGGCAAGAACAGTTGACAAGGAGACATTAAGACAGTGAATCACTTCTACAGCAGCTTGTTACTTTCCTAAATTCTGAAGCATTTTGGAAGCCCCCTGAGAACTGGGCTGTCCCTAAGGATTCAAGTAGAAACTAGGACAGGCCCAGGAGGCCTATAGATAATGAACTAGCTCTCCAATTAAAACAACTGTAGAAGAGAGTATAATTACACCCATCTTTTCTTCAGTGGAAAAAGATTTTAGTATAGTTCAGAACCTATCAAGCAAACTTCTCAGTACCTCAACTTAAAATCATTCAGCTGTAGTTTCATTTATGCGATATAACATTGGATGGCTAATTTTGAGGTGTTTTTACTTGAGATCTTTTTAATGAGTTTATATTTTAAATATAATTTAAATGCAATTTTAAAAATTAGTGTGGGAACTCCCTACTATAAGTTATTAAGTTGGGGTACAAAAATCTTTTTGTTTTTTTGTTTTTATGGTTGTTGTTTGCAAACCTCATAGGTTTTGACAGCGTATAATTAAGTTTGCGTGTCCTCTTTTACTTGATGGAACTGTTACCACTGGAGTTTGCTTCTTCCTTCATAATTTCTGAACCACATCCACATTCAGAAGGGCTGTGATAGAGAGTTCAAACTTTCAGTGATAAGACCAACCATAAGATGTGACTATAGCAATTGAAAATGAGAATATTGGTACCTAAAATGTTTCGCCTTTTTCTTTTTTTTCTATGTTTCATTTTCAATAAAATTCGTTCTTAGGATGATCAAAAAGCAGAAAATGATATGGCAATGAAACGGGCAGCTTTGTTGGAGAAAAGATTAAGAAGGGAAAAAGAAACTCAGCTCCGGAAACAACAGCTGGAAGCAGAGATGGAGCATAAGAAAGAGGAAACAAGGTAAAGGAAATGTTGGGCCAGTGCTAGATCTGAACTTTAATGATGCATGGGCATATTTAGGAAAATCTGTTAAGTACTCAAAGGGGTAGTTTCTCATTAATTTTTATTAACATTTTTTTCAGAGAAGTTTGTAGTATAGACAGCTTGATCAATGCTACTTTTTGGTGCTTTGTAGAAATCAATTTATTTTCCCAAAGCATTGTCTGATTTTATATTTTTATCTTAAGTTTAAGGCATCTCATGGTAAAGTTCTCTAGAAACAATATAAATAATTAATTTAAATGTTTTGAAAACATTTAAAGAACTTTACTGGGGGAGATACACACACACAGACACACACACACACACACACACACACACACACCCTAAATTATCTCAAATACCTTTTTTTTCTTAATTTTTTGGGCTCTTCCTTTCTGCCTTCATTTATTTATTTATGCTTAATCCCATGTCTCAGCAGAATCATCAAGTACCTTTCAAATGAATCATTTATTCCCCAAGGTGATGAAATAGAATTCGCCCTTCCCACATCAAATGCATAAATCCCTCCTGTGTGATTTGTCTTTGGTGTGCAGTATGAGAACTGTAACCACTTGATTTCTTAGGCGTAAAACTGAGGAAGAACGTCAGAAGAAAGAAGATGAGCGAGCACGCAGAGAATTTATTAGGCAGGAATATATGAGGCGGAAACAGCTGAAACTAATGGAAGATATGGATACAGTAATTAAACCCCGTCCTCAAGGACTAAAACAGAAAAAACAGCGACCAAAATCTATTCACAGAGATCATATTGAATCCCCCAAAACACCAATAAAGGGTCCTCCAGGTAACATAGCTTATTATGAAGAGTCTGTTCATAAAAAACACCAGCTTGGTTGGTTTGTCATACTAACTTGGTTGTACATTGATATGCAAAATTGGATACACAGTTTGAGATTATGCATGCTCCTTTTTGGAAAACCAAAATGAGCAATTGAAGTTTTTGATAAATGTGTTATGTATGCATGCATATATTCAGTAGAACAAATGTGAATGCTAAAAATCAAATTTAAATATTAATCTGTTAGGGAACTCTGGCCTGAACGATTAATTTCCTTGAACTATTAACTACCCTTTACATACTTACAAATTTAAAGAAATGTTATATGCATGAAATGTACAAGAAACATGTTGGTACAATAAGGAATATAAGATCAAGAGTTCACAAGTCCCTCCTTCAAGATACAAATGGTTGAAAATCCAAACTTAAAATATCTGGAGTTGAGAGAGTATATGTTTTTTGTTTTTGTTTTTATTTTATTCCCTTGGCTCTTTCCAGAGAGTATATCTTTTCTAAAAGTCAATATGCATACTCATTATTATTATTATTTTTTGAAATGGAGTCTCACTCTGTCGCCTAGGCTAGAGTGCAGGGGTGTTATCATGGCTCATTGCAGCCTTCACCTCTCTGGGTTCAGGTGATCCTCCCACCTCAGCCTCCTGGGTAACTGGGACTGCGGGTGAATGCCACCACACCCAGCTAACTTATTTGTATTTTTTGCAGAGATGGGGTTTTGCCATGTTGTCCAGGCTGGTCTCGAACTCTTGGGCTCAAGCAACCCGCCAGCCGTGGCCTCCCAAAGTGGGATTACAGGCGTGAGTCACTGCGCCCAACCATACTCTTATTTTTAAAAAATCTTGGGGGAAGGGATACATTTTTAAAAAGAAACAAAAAATCTTCATTAAAACCAAAAATAATATAACGTTGACTGTGTAAAGAGAACTCTGTTTTTTCAAGCCTGTAAAACTGATATAATTTTCTACCTAGGATTTAGATATTTTGAAATTTTTAAATTTTTTTCTTTGGGATCACAGTATCATGTCTCACATTAACATTTTCCTTTTTGAATGGAAGTTAGTTTTATCATTGTTTCCTAAAAGTAGGTTTCTTGCTAATTTTAAATAAATTGTATGTATATGCATGCAAGCATATTATGTGTTTAAATTAAAAGCACAGAGAAAAGAAAAAGAAACTACAGAAGCTCAATTTTTATATGCTGGTGTTATCTAATGAACAGACTCTTTGCTACTTGCTCCTTTTAAATTTCTGATTTTGTTTTTATTCAGGATCATGAATTTATCGTGTTTTTTCAGTCTCTAGCCTTTCTTTGGCATCGCTGAACACAGGTGATAACGAGAGTGTGCATTCAGGCAAGAGGACACCAAGGTAAATCCATAACATATGAATATTTTTATAGAAAAGAATATAGTACCTGTAATTATACAAACTCTAAGTAAAAACTATTTAGTGTTTTTAGTTTATATTTTATAATGACCAAATTATAATCACAAATTTTTCTAAGCTTTGCTGACTTAGGACTATTTGAGTTTCTGTTAAATGATATAAAGAAGTCTATTCATCTTGCAGTGCTTTTTATCTTTTAGAATATAGAATTGTTGATAATGTACTTTTTATAAGCTGTGAAACATTAACAGTAATTATACATCAGTAATTACTAATATGATTATGATTAAATCACAGTCAGTAGAATGACAGTACCACCTTCTCTAATGTATTCCCACTAATACAAGGAGGTTTTCCCCATCAGAGTAATTCCAAAGTGGGTTGCCTATATCTCTTTTGTATTTTCTTTCTCTCGGATATAGATGAGAAGCTAAAAGTCGGTATTTCATTACCTTATACTATAATACCCGTGTCAGAAAACAACTTTCTAGTGACAGTCATCATCTTAGAGTTCTTATCTTTGTGTTACCGCCCTTTTGTGTTATTTGCTAATTTTCACATTGAAAAACATTCATTCTTTCAACAGATATTTATAGAACGCATACTATGTTCTAGGAACTTGGATGTGTAGCTGTGAATAAGACAAACAAACAAAGAAATCTTTTTTTTTTTTTTTTTGAGATGGAGTTTTGCTCTGTTGCCCAGGCTGGAGTGCAGTGGCGTGATTTTGGCTCACTGCAACCTCCACCTCCTGGGTTCAAGCGATTCTTCTGTGTCAGCCTCCTGAGTAGCTGGGACTATAGTAGCTGTGGTGTGCCACCACACCCGGCTAACTTTTGTATTTTTAGTAGAAATGGGATTTCACCATATTGGCCAGGCTGGTCTTGAACACCTGACCTCATGATCCCCCCACCTCGCCCTCCCGGAGTGCTAGGATTACAGGCGTGAGCCACCAAGTCCAGCCTCATCATATTATGTTTAGGCCGCTGGGCTGAATTTTGGTTGGTACTTTCACTTATACCCTCTGGCCCCCATTTTTTCTCTGTTCGAAACATAAAACGTGTTTTATTTTCTAATTAGATCAGAGTCTGTAGAAGGCTTCTTATCTCCAAGTCGTTGTGGCAGTCGAAATGGAGAAAAGGACTGGGAAAATGCATCAACAACTTCTTCAGTGGCATCTGGAACAGAATATACAGGTTAGTGTTTCTACATTTTTAGAGAAACATTTGAATTTAACACTCATAAATGGAGGCTGTGCTAAAGAAAATTTTATTGGCTCACCTTTGGGTTTTAAACACAAGCCGCTAATAAACAGTGAACACAGGTGTTCACTTTCAGGTAGTTGAGTAAATTTCTGAACAAAATTAGTGATGCCACTTATATCTCATCCCTCTAACCACTGTTAGCCATTTCTGTGTAGGTTGGGTCTAAAGAAGTTTTAGAGAAGTTCTACATAGTTCCTCAGTACTGAGTAAAGGCTAGAATCCACTAAGCCCTCTCCCGAATACTGGGATTTCAGGTATCCAGAATTGTGCACCTTTAGCAAGTATTAAGAGGCTCTAAAAGATAAGAATGCATTGAATCTAGGAAGGTATCCAGCCTCACATATCCCCCCAAGTCCTCTTCTAGCGTCTAGGTAGGCACGATGGAAATAAAAGCAATGAAGAATAGAATATGGGTTAAGGACACTTCTAAATAAATGAAGCAGGAGAGAAATCAGAAAAAATGTCAGCAGCATGTTGAGAGATAAGATAGGCCTTCTTCCATACATAGAACATGTATGGGGAAGAGCAGAGGGGAAAGGAGATTGCTTCCATCTATCCATGATAGAGTGGAAGTGAAAACCCTATAAAGGCCTAAAGAGGATAGAATTCGCTAGAGACTCACTTTGTGGCTTTTAATGCAACCTCCTACAGCCAGTCTGACAGCCTTTAAGGCCTGGGATTTGACCATATTTCCGTGTTACTCCCTCTGCTTCTCTGTGTTAGTTTAGTTGAACAATCTGAAAAACAAAGGCTTTTCTTACCTTTTGAAAAGGCTTTAAATTACTCATGGACCCATTCTACTCCAAGCTAACCACTAACCTTATAGATTTAAGAAAGAAGATTAAATAGGCAGTATGACAGTTATAGCAATATTTTATTTTTAGTACTACTCTTACAGGGTACTCCAAAAGGCCATAGGAACATTCTCCAGGTGTATCTCTGGGTGGATAAAACAACGTTTTGGTTGGATTGCAGTCAGTAAGAGGCCTTTAAGCACAGAATTCATTCTTCTATTATAGTATTTCTGCAGTGTAGGAACAGTTACATCATTTTAAAATAGTATTTCTGACTTAGGAATGTTATTTTTATTATTGTTAAATCCTTACCATAGGACCAAAGCTCTACAAAGAACCCAGTGCAAAATCCAATAAGCACATAATACAAAATGCTTTAGCTCATTGCTGTTTGGCTGGAAAAGTAAATGAAGGTCAGAAGAAGAAAATACTGGAGGTAAGCATGTTTGCATGAAAATTAAATTTGGCAAACTGTAGGAGTCTTTTAGCCATTCAAGAGAGTGTACTCTGATGGGCCTAGAATTTTAACAGCAGGCGAAAAGATGTGTAGCTAGATATTTTAATTATTAGATTTAGTTCACTTTCACATTGGGTTTTGGAACCTTGGAGATTATAAGACTAGCAATAGGCTTTAAAATTTGTCATTGCAATAATGTTATAAAATGTGACTAAGAAATGTAACATAATTCTATAAACTTTATTCAGCAAAATAAAGGGTTTTTATTGGTGTGTTATATTTTTTATTTTAAAGGAAATGGAGAAGTCAGATGCCAACAACTTCTTAATCTTGTTCCGGGACTCAGGATGCCAGTTCAGATCTTTGTATACTTATTGCCCAGAAACTGAAGAAATCAGTAAACTGACTGGGATAGGCCCTAAATCTATCACTAAAAAAATGATTGAAGGACTTTACAAGTATAATTCTGACAGGAAACAGTTTAGCCACATACCCGCTAAAACTTTATCCGCCAGTGTTGATGCAATTACCATTCATAGCCATTTATGGCAGACCAAAAGACCAGTAACACCCAAAAAACTTTTACCCTCTAAGGCATAGAAGTTGGGAAATATTTGCTTCAGAACATTCATGGTAAGTTTGCACTTCATCTTTCCTGCCTATAGAAAACCTTTCTAATTGCCAACAAGACTTTTATTAATTAAAACTGGACTTTAAGCTCTGTTGTCATGAACAACTGGAATGTAAACCACAGTATTTTGGAGTGCAGAAGATTCTCACTAAGGTGATAAGTCCAAGTGATGAAGGAAATGTTTTAATTCACAAATGGAGATTTGTATGTGTTATCAGGTTCAACTGCTTGGTATTAGATACATTGAAGCACTGAATTTTCATGGATATTAGTTGGATTTATCGTTGAAATACGGTTAAGATGACAAATTATGTGTTTTATTTGTTGCTTTTTTTTTTTTTTAACTTTTTAATGTATATTCTTGTCTTCAGATGGTTTATTTTGCTATTTTTCTCTCCTGGGGGTTTATTCTAAGATACCTTTGTATTTTGTTTCATGCGGAGATCATGAAAGTAGGAAATACACCTTCAGAAGTAACTTGCACCTTTCTTATGATGTTAAGAGAAACACTAGTGTTTAGTTTTACAATAACCCTCATATTTTAATGGTGTTACAGCATTTGCAAAAATTATTCTGCTAAATATTTACGACTCTGTATTTATTATTCACTCAAGTATTAACATTCTCTATTAAATAAGAGGAGGTATTGTAAAGAGCTGCTAGTAGGTTCGCTTTAAATCACATGAGCTTAACCAAGAATATGTTACAAGAAGTTGCTGATTAAATCAGTGCTGTTTTGACATCACTTCTGGCCAACTCAGAATAATTTAGATTGTTCTTTTAACAAAAAAGCTTTCTATTTCTTTAAAGTAAGTCACTTTATAAGTTGGCAGAAGTGAATGACACTTTGAGAGTAGTCTTTCCGTCTGAAGATCTAAGACTTCCTGAAACAAGTTCTCAAGAAGTCTTCACATTATATTTATAACTCATATAAAAATGATATTTAGAATTTTTAAACATGTACAAAGGGCTACATTTTAATTTTAAAATAGCTTCACTTTATTTTACTTATATTGGGTTTTTGTTCTTCGTTTTAATCCTTTTCAAGTGGATGGCTTAGATTAAGTATACACTTGAAATCTCCTCTACGTGATCTTTGTTCTTTAGCAATGTGTACCAGAGGGTTAGTTGGGGAAAAACTTCATTCTCAGGAAAAGACTTGAATGATTATGTGACCCTGTTATGTTTCAGTGTTGTGACAACTGTGTGAACTAGGGGGGAAGACAGTATTGTATCATAAATGAGATGCGTAGTTTGTTTTCTTTCATGGGAAGTAGAGATAAAAATATATACATTTCTCTAATTGAGTTGTTTAGAGAGAGAACTAATGTCTCATATGATGTATTTACTTATTTTAAAAAAAAAAGAATAGGAATGAGATGTCCCTGAGCTGTACTTTTCTATTATTATAAGTCCTGTAGGCATCAGTGCATCTGGGTTATCAACATTTTCTCAAATGCTGTCAATATTTTAATGTAATTTATGTTCCTATATTTATGTATATTTGTTAAAACTGTAAAAAAATTTCACAGATTTTTTTCCAATACCTGTGCAAGATACATGTGTAGCTCAAAACTATTTGTGATCTACTGTTTGCATGTAAGAGACCAGGATATGTAACTCTTATATTTTAAGTGTATACATATTGTGTATATAATATGGATATTAAAAATGGGGAATTGCACATTTTACCTTTTAGACAACAATTTCTATCACAATTAGAAGGAAATGATTGTCAAATACATGTTAAATTAAAACCAGTTTTAAAAAGTATAAATGAATATAATCAAAATGTGAATAGTAGTCAAAAGGATAATTCATAAGCATTTTATATTACTAAATTTGTTCACTTCAATTAACTAAATTTCCCTCATCAAAGCAACCTTTGTGATCTTACATGGTTATTAAATGAAGAAAATCAGATGCAAGACAATGGAGAAACTATTTAAAACTAAACAGGACCACCCTTTATTTTTAATCTGTGTGTGTCCAACAGTTGAATTGAATGTCTATGAGGTCTAAAGGTAGAATGTGAATATTGCCACAGAGTTCATTGCTCTCAGTATAAGATTTTACTTTATTAATGCAGAAGGAATATGGATATATTTCTTTACGTCTGCAGATGTTTTTATTATGGTGCAGCTTTTTTTTTGAATTATGTTTTTAAAATTACACAGTTGAAAAATATGCCATTTCATAAAGTCTGGGGATTTTCGTCAACCTTACTGAAACACACTGGTGCTTTCATCATCAGAGGTCAAATTATTATGATAACTATTCCATTAAATTTGCCAAACATATGTCATGGTTACCAGTGCGGCCTGTCAAATTCTGCGATTTGACACAGCTTTGGAAAGCTTTTAGTTCTTGGTTTTTCAATTTAGTATTAGAATGACTGTTACAGTTTTATTTGGCTGTTTAAAGCCAAATTCAGCTATTTAATTACGATTTCATGGACACTGCTGAGCAATGTACAGTGTGTGGTGTGCTTACCTGTCCACTCTAGAGCATTGCTTACAGGTTTTTTGTTTTTTAAGATGCTGTGCTGTAAGATACTGTCATATTTGCTATTTCCTGGTACGGTGTAGTTTTTCCCCTTTCATTTGAATAAAAGCATGGCACCAAATGACTCCTTTTCTGTTTCTTGAATAAAATGTAGTTTCTGGTAAAATTATTTGAACTTGGGAGAGCTCATTATGTAGTTTTCCTGTCCCCTAACCTATGTTTAAATTTAATCACTCAAATATTCATAAGAGGCAACTTGAAATAATTAGACTTTTAAAAATACTAACTTAAGGCAATGTTAAAAAGTCTGTAACTTTCTATGGTTAGTGCAGATGATCTACATAGTATGATTTATAAATGTGCTTATCTTACTTAACCTTGCTCCTGTGAATTTACTATCTTTTGGTGACTCAGTAGTTAAGTTGTACCAGAATTAATGCTCTATGTCTTTGAAATTGAATGGCCACTGAACTCACTGATCTAGAGTAGCCATGAGAAGCTAGTTCTCGACCATTATTCTGTATGTTTCACTTTGATTTTGCCGATCCTACTTATTCAGAACAGAAAAAAAAAATGTTTTTTAAGAAAAAAGATACCTGATAAAACTATAAATAATAATCTTCATGCATAATTATATACCTGAAGAAATATCCGGTTAGTAGACATTTTTAGCTCTCTACCTTGGGACCTTTTTGGTAGGTTTTGTAACTTCAGAACATAGCCATACTTCCACAATATTTTCTAGTACTTTAATTTTCAAAAATAAAAATATTTAACCCTAAGACCCAGGCAGCATTAGAAAACTGTACACAAGGCCATGTACGGTGGCTCACGCCTATAATCCCAGCACTTTGGGAGGCCGAGGCAGATGAATCACTTGAGGTCAGGAGCTTTGAGACCAGCCTGGCCAACATGGTGAAACCCCGTCTCTACCAAGAAAATACAAAAAATTAGCCAGGCATGGTGGCGGACCGCTGTAATCCCAGCTACTTGGGAAGCTGAAGCAGAATTGCTTAAACCCAGGAGGCAGAGGTTGTAGCAGGCCAAGATTGTACCTCTGCCCTCCAGCCTAGGTGACAGAGCGAGACTGTCTCAAAAAAAAGAAAAGAAAAGAAAAGTGTACACAAACCCTAGAGCCCCCACGCAATAAGAATGTGTTGCCTTATGACTGAAATTGATACCTCTTAACTAGGGCAGAGGAAAATATTCTGTAGTGAATAGGAACAGATACCTTTATTTCATAATTTGTCTACACAGAAAGAAGATAAAGAATAAAAATTTAGCAAAGGAAATGTAGCTGTAATGTATGACCTAGGAATTGGCTATTGGAAAAACACATCTATAAAATGAGTGTGAAATTCTGTCATCCCTCGGGAGTATATAGATGCTTAAGAAATAGATATCTTCTTAAAAGAAACAAATGAGATATTAATGATTTTGCCTAATTTGATGGGGGTGGGGGAAGTACACAGACTGGCATGCCAGAGTCGCTCTTTAAATAAGGAGATACAGAATTGAGTTTCAGTCATCTCCTTTTTGCCCCTGTGGGCATATAGGTCTTCTAGCAACTCAAGGCCACATGCTTAGACAACAAAGATTAGTTTTGTACATGCGTTTAAATCACTGTGGTACTCATAACTGGGGCTATCTCCATCCTCAGTAGCTTATATATGTCAGGAAAATAGGGGCAATTATTACTTTTCATTGAAGAGGTGAAAAGCAAAGTAAAAAAATGTTTTAAGACCCGCTAAGATTTTAACACGTTAAGCAAAGCCACTATGGTACCTTAGGCTACTAATGCATTTGATTCTTAACCCAAGACTCTTGTTTCCAGTGGTTGAATCTGTGATTCAGCCTTCAGTAGGTGTTAGAGGCATCCCAGGGATAAAGGACACAGGTGGCATGTTGGCATGTGTCATCTGTGGCACCTCTACTTCGCAGTTTTGTTCAGCTGCAGTGATTCCTGGCCAGCCCTGTTATTCATACTTCAGGGTTTGTGTATTTATGTAGAAAAGGAAATGTGGCTCTCAACCCCCGAACAAAGAAACTGTCCACTTAAATACTGCTTTGTAATTTAAAAAGCTATTTGCTTTGCTTCCTTTTAACTTACTACTGCCTGGGAAGAGGTGAGCATCTACATCTCCATTTTACAGATGAGGGAGATGAGGCTTCAAAAGGTCAGTAGCTGTCCTAGGGACTCAAAGCTAGTAAGTGACAGCATCACAACTGGCAACTAAGCCTTCTGGTTTCAAATCCCCTTACTGTGCCATATGGTACAGAGTTTTCCACCGCATTGTACATGTTGTGGAATAAGAGTATTGAAAGGCTCACAGCTGTACCAGTTAATGTATTTACCATGGGTAGAAAACTCAGAACTTAAAGTGGATTTTATTCTCTTGTCCAAGACTCTTAACTAGCATCAATAGGACAACAGCTAAAATCAGTTACGCTCACCTACTGTTCAATGTCTAACTTAATAAGGATGAAAGAATGGAGAAATTGCAAAAGTGGTGAAAACAAACTGATTATGGTAACACGTTGATCAGAATTATCTAGGAAATAGTTATGAGACGAAAGGGGCTAGCTAGGTCACAAAGATGAGGTCTCTTCCATCAAGAACTCTCTTGAAGTAGATGCCATTAGACTTTTACAAAATGGATACAGTGTGTGCTGTAATAGAGGTATGGAACCAAAGTGAAGGACAGATGAGCCCTTTTCTTGTCAACAGTAAGAGGTTCTTGTCCATCAAGAGAGTTCATGTAGTAGATTATCTTATTAAAACTGACTCTATAAAGAACTTAAGACTGCTCTTCCCAGGGACATTGTCTGCAGGCACTCAGAATGGTCCAGCATTTGACATACCACCGTAGCCACTCCTACAATACAGCCTCTCACAAAATTAGGCTGCCCCGAACCCCTGGTAATAGAATTGTTATTATTCGTGTGGTATGTGCCGAGGCAGACTTCAGAGGGGTTCGTGTTGTAAGACCTAAAGTTCTATGAGATCGTCCAAAACAAAGAAACGTGTCAGCAGGGCCTGTGGTTGGTTCCATGTGTGCTAAATGTGTTCGTGACAGGATCAAGTGTGCTTTCCTTATCAAGGAGCGGAAAATGGTCGTGAAAATGTTGAAGGCACAAGTACAGAGTCGAGAGCTAAATAAAAAATGAAACTTTTTTGAGTAGTAAAAATGAAAAGACTTGCTGTATGAAAAAAAAAGAACTTAAGACCATCTTACATTGTCAGCCAACAGGGTACCAAATCTTAGTTTTCTTTTCTTTGAGATGGAGTCTCGCTCTGTCACCCAGGCTGGAGTGCAGTGGCGCAATCTCGGCTCACTGCAACCTCCACCTCCTGGGTTCAAGTGATTCTCCTGCCTCAGCCTCCCAAGTAGCTGGGATTACAGGCGCCTGCCACTACGCCCAGCTAATTTTTTTGTCTTTTTAGTAGAGACTGGGTTTCACCATGTTGGCCAGGGCTGGTCTCGAACTCCTGACCTTGTGATTCACTCGCCTTGGCCTCCCGAAGTGCTGGGATTACAGGCATGAGCCACTGTACCTAGCCCTAGCTTTCTTTAAATAGTGAATTTTGAATTGCAGCGACATCAATTCTGTTGATAGGCTGTGAGGTCCTAATTTATGATTAGAACAAAGCTAACTGTAAACTGCATCTTCTTTCTTAGCCAGAGGCTAAGTACAGATATTATTATATACATTAGGGAATTAGTTTGTGCTTTATCCTTACAGTCTCAACACAATTGGTATTCAATAAATATTCATCAAGTAAATACATGAAAGGGAGACTATTCAGTCCTGGTCCAAAATTCAAAATTAAATTTAAAACATGTTCTGATTTCTGCTAGGCCACCCTTAATTTCTTACTACAGATATTTTTGCGCCCAAAATAGAAACCTGAAGTTGGCTTTTCTGCTCCGACTGCCTCTGGTTCATACCCTTTCAAAGGAGCCAGGTGCAGCTTGAAAATCTGAATAATTGGTCACCATGACACAATGATGTACTGTTCCCTTTTGCCT